GAAGGGATCTCTCTCTAGAGCTAAGAACACTCCCCCTATATGCTGGCTAGGGCACCCCGATGCTAAGGTGATGGGTAATATTGATGGACAGATGAACTGTGCATATTGTAATCAGCAGCACATGTGAGCCACTTGCATCCCGTTGTATCTGGCCCTGGAAAGCATGGTACTGGGGGCAAGACACATCTGCCACCTCCTCTCCCCTTCTCCCTCCCCCCTCCTTGCAAGCAGTGCTAAGCCAAAGCCACAGCACTTATCATTCTTTGCCTGGGACTAGATCTCCTCTGTGCATCAGTGCAGGTATGTGTACAGGGAGAAGGTAGAAGGACCCTTTCCCCTGCTTCTGTGCCCTGCTCAGGAGCCAGGAATCATTGCAATCAACTGAGGGAATGCAGGGACTCCTAGCTCTGTGCCCAGTCATGTTCCATGTTACCCATTTCTCCAGCATGAAGTGCTGGCCACAGCAGCAGAGGGGAGCAGGTGGCTCTATCTTCTTGAAGCTGGGAAGGACCAGCTCCACATCACCACCTTCACAGCATCGTGAAGAGATGCTCCTGGCATCTGTCACCTTGTGTGGAGGCTACAAACACATGTGTACATGAATGTCCATTGCTAGTGCTCATCACCTTCAAGGACAGAGAGCAGAAGGACATCCAACCCTCCAGTCTTCTGAAGAAGCGGGCTGTGCCCACAAAAGCTCATGATACCAGCTACATGTTTTGTTAGTCTTTAAAATGCTACCAGACCATTTGTTGTTTTTTAAGTTTAATCAGAAACAATATCTTCATACAAGCCACTGTTCTCCTAATGGCATGCTGGAAGAAGTGAGGAAATAGTTCCATGACCTGAGGTTCCTCTTTCTGGTTATAAAGGAATTTCCTGTAAGACTGGATTTTTTCAGGGCAATGAGTTATTCACCCTGTTCTTGTACATCTGTTGATTTGTATTGGGAAACTGCTGGGAGAAACAGAGAGAAAGAATAATCACAGGATATACACTCATCCAGTACCCGAAAGGAAGGAAACGCCTATTAATGTGAAGGTTTATTACTATCTAATGTTGAGTCTGTTACTGTAGTTGAATCTGGGACAGTCAGGAATCATTTTACAATTCTTGCTGCTTTTAATACATATAATATGTATGGCACCATCCATATATTGTGTATTTCTTAGGGGTAATGAATGCTATTTAGTGGCCTGAATGCTTCCATCTAAGCTGCTATTTTAAGTCCTTCGTATAGTTCTGAAACTTTCACTTATCTGGCTACAATTTTCCCTGCCTGATCTCTCTGTGAAGGTGAATTTGTTCAGAAGCTTGCAGCCAAAGATGGATCTGCTGATTTTGAGTCTGAGGGGAATGGGAAAAATACACTTTCCTTGTCATAAATATACCATGAAGGTTGAGTGATTAATTATTCAAAAGCCCGGAAATGCTAAAAATTAAGCTTGCCTGGACAACCTTAACTCTTCCCCTTTGTCTGTAAACACCATGATAATCTTGAATTGCAGCATCACGTGGTATACATCAAATAATACAGTTTTCAGAGACCTAGTGGGAAGCATCTTGTTTTTCCCCGTGGAGCCAAGCCTCATTCACCACACATTTGGCTCATGATTGACCTTCATGAACTCTGCAGAGGAAGCCTAAAAACATTCTGTTGGAAGAAAAACACCTAGGCATTTTCTACACTTTTAACATCACTGTTAATGTTGCCTGTTTAACCTAAGCATTTCCCCCTTTGTGTGAATATATATGATACAGTCTGTTATGGCATGATCACATACTATTTCTCATATCAGGAGCAATATTATCATACTATCTGTATCTGCACCCATCTATACACATCTAGCATGCGTGCAACATGTACTACTCTCGGTTTGAGAAAGAGTTTAGAGGTGTCACATGAAATGTCCTTTGTGAGCTGTACATATAGTATGCTATATGCTACTAAAGAACACTGCTCTGCACATATGCCCAGCTAAATCTGCCTCCTAGCTAACTCCTCCAGTGCCTGAATTGCACCTAAGAAAGGACATCTGCTGGTTAAAATGGGAAAGTTGGTGTTGACAAAATTATCAGAGGATGTACTGCACCTTCCAGAGCAGAGAGATTGTTATATGGAAACTCCAGGTTAAGAAAGAGATATTGGACTATTCTGGCAAAGGAATTAGTGTCAGGAGAAGAGGCTGATAAAAGCAATACATAACAGTATCTACAGCTAAACAGGTGTGACTCTATTATTTAAAAAATAGTAGGTAACCATGCAATTAAATACCATGAAAAAATGCCAATGCCTAATGGCTATTGGCCCTTAAATATGGCATCAATTGAATTTAGAGATCTGGAATGTGCAATGTTAACATTCTTTTAATGTTTGTTTTATTTATGATGTTTTTTTCCAGAGAGCTCTTAGGTGCCCAAGTCTGGTGTTTAGGAACCTAAGCACCTTTGTAGTTCTGAACCTAAGTCTCAGATTCAAGTGCCTAAGAGTAGGTCTACACTGCAAAGGAAAACCCACAGCACTGAGTCTCAAGGCATGTCTTCACTATAGGCTGGACGGACACACAGAGATCGATCCAACTGGGGTCAATGTACCCTGTCTAGAACAGATGTGATAAATCAGTCACCAAGTGCTCTCCCATTGACCCCAGTACTCCACCAAAACAAGGAGAGTAAATGGAGTTGATGGCAGCATCAGCTGTGGACTTACCATGGTGAAGATACTGCTGTAAGCAGTCCTAAGTACATCAATTTCATTGATGCTATTCATGTAGCCGAATTGTGTAACTTAGGTTAATGGCCTGCGGCAGTTCAGACAAGGCCTCAGAGTCTCAGTCAATTGGCTTGGGCTCACAGAGTTCAGAATTCACAGCTAAAAATGACAAGGTAGGTGTTCCCGCTCAGGCTAGAGCCAGCTCTGAAACCTGATGAAGGGGTAGGGTCCAGCCTAAGTGGGAACCTACACACTGCTAAGTAGCCCTGCTCAATCCCTACAAGCTTTTATTTATCCACAGTGAAACAGCTTCCCCAGAGAGGCTAAGGGAGCCCCACATTGGAGCATCCCATGGCTTAGTGGTAGAGCACTCCTGTTCACCTCCTCTCTCTGTCGCTGCACCTGAGGGGGGAACTGAAAGTGGGCCTCGCACATGCAATCTCAGTGCTCTAACCCCTGGGTTAAAAGCTATAAGGTGGGTGCTCCCACCAACTGCTCTGCTGCCAACCATTTTGCAAGGTGCAAGTCAAGCTTCTAACTCATTCCAGCAACCCTGGGGGCACCAGGTTTTGTGAGGCATAAAGACACCCCTCCCAGCCTATGCAGGCTTTGTTAGCGATAGCCTCAGGCCCGCTTCTGAGCATCACCATGGCTTTCCCAGCCCCTGTTTTACTGGACACTAACACTCACAGATTAGGTGCTCCCAAAGATACAGCAGACACCAGTTTATCCATTTCCCTTCAGATCGTTGCTCTGTTGAACACACGTGTTTAACACACATCACCTGGACATGAAGATAGTGAAAACAAGTATCTACACAAAGTATGTAGATTGGAGAAGTAGCAAACGAGAATATTGGAAATAAACAGTTACATGTAAAATAAAATCATCGCACGCCTACAGGTGCCTAGACTTAATTAACCAGATACTATCTTGTCTAGTCGTTGCAGCATTTTCCAGCCACGTTGGTTGTTCCTCAGTTCATAAGACAGACCACACTACCAGCTCATCTCTTCAGTGAAGGGTACCCTGTGTCCTCTTACATACTTCTGATATATCAGGCTAATCCTTTAATCTTAGTCATAAATAGGACACCCTCCTGCTGTGTGTCCCTTTCCGTAGATTTTGTGATTTCTTGTCAGTTTAGGAATCTCAGTTAGCTGGTGGCTCAATATGCAAATAGACTTATGTTATGAGGCACACATTACACAGATAATAGAGATATGTGTCAACTTTCCCCTGCCCGAACAGAGTCATGTTTATTGCTCTCTGGGGATCTGCATTAACTCACACCCCGTAACATGATTTTCAGTACAGTTACATAACTCTTTAAATATCTTCTGTGTAAATATCTCACATTGATTGTGATGACCAGTGTCATGCTGTCTATTGGTAAAATTGCATCGCCTGTGTCCTCTGTCCTTTGGCATCAAAAATGCCTTGGGTCACAACACCTTATGTTCCTAAGCCTTATGTCTCCTGTTCATGATCCTGCAGCCAGGCCTTGTACTTATCTCTGAGGCTATGTCTACATTTGCATCTGACTGATAACACTTTCATTGTTCATGGAAGCTTAACCCTCCAACTCCGTGAATGACAAAGTTTGCCACGGCAAATGCACATGTGAACACTGCTTTGTTGGCAGGAGCGATAGATAGATAGATAGATAGATAGATAGATAGATAGATAGATAGATAGATAGATAGATAGATAGATAGATAGATAGATAGATAGATAGATAGATAGAGGGTCTTTTTATGTGTCTTTGCTTTCTGAGCCTTGAGGACACTCCCAGGTCAGGTCAGCCTTTTCTCTGCAAACACTTTTTATATGAAAGCTGATGGTGAACAGGGCTAAAGGCATCATTAGACACATGAGCAGAGGTGTGAGCAGGGAAGGGAGGTGACAGCCTCTGTGAGACTGTGATTGGACACTGCAGCCTGTCCTAGGGACCGCATTTTAAAAACTTGTTGAAAAATTGCAGATAGGGCAGCAAAGAGCCAAATGTATTGAGGGCTGGAGAAAAATGCCTCCTTGTGAGCTACTGAAAGGCACTCGATGTGCTTAGCTTCTACAAAAGAGGTTGAGAGGTGACTTCATAGAAGTATTTAAGTGCCTTGGAGAGATGTCGGGCAGTAAAGGGCTGTGCAGAGAAAGGCAGAATGAGACCAGTGGCTGGAAAGTGAAGCCAGACACATTCATATTAGAAATAAGGCACAAATATTTCACAGTGAGGATGCCTCACTGTTGGAACAAACTACCAAAGCAAGTGATGGATTCTCCATTTCTAGATGTTTTCTAATGAAGACTAGATGTGCTTGGATCAAAACTTAGCCACTGTGATATACAGGAGGGGTGGAGTAAGCAGGGGTCAGATTTGATGTTCTAATGGTCCCATCTGGCCCTAACTGAAAGTAGGAATAAGAGATCCTCCAGAATAGGGCTTTATTCCGGAGGATCGGGCCAGTCTAGACGCTTTTTTCTGGCTTTTCCCCAAGCCGGAAAAAAAGCGGCGGACATGTTTATTTAAATCCCGTGGGGGATATTTAAATCCCCCACGGATTTCCCTATTCCCACTTTCAAAATTAGCATGCCCCTTCCAAAGAAGGGGCCAGTGTAGACGTAGCCACAAAGTGTCTGGCCAGGATCAGGACACCAGCTTGGGACAGGTGGGTGTGACGGTGACATCACAAAAGCCTGCTGCAGGACCTCAGCCTATTGGGGGAAAGTGGTAGGGAAGTGGTGACCTCACAGAGAGACCCTGACATCAGCCAGGCAGGACAGAGCACAAGGCAGGGGCAACATCAGAGACTTCCATGGCTCTGCAGCAGCAAGACTCCTTCTCAAGGTCTCTCTCTGGGGACCAAGAGAGAATTAAACTAATCTACGTGAGCATGAGGAGGAACTTCATTGGAGTTTTCTCCATCCCTACTATTGATTTGTAGCCCCTGTTTAGAAGGTAACAGCCTCAGAGTATTGGGACCTGTCTGATCCACCTGGTACCAGTTGAATTCTAAGCGTAGAAATCACTCAGTTAAGATGAGTTCATTTTCTACCAAAGACTCTGTCCTAGAAAGATGGGAAGGGGGCGGGGGAAGGACGTTGTTGTCACTGTAGCTTGGATGACAGCTGTCACCCTTACAAAGAGGTGGGGCAGGAATTGCTCTGAGACTGATCCTCTCCAGAGGTGACCTGGGCCACTCTTCAAATCCTCTGCTGAGACTCCTCTGGGCCCCTTAAATCTCTGCTGGAGTCCTGGGTGGCAAGCTCCAGGAGGTACTGAAGGGCTGGCAGAGGAAGGCTAGTCCCTAGCCCCTCCCCTTCCACCTAAGACCCCGCCCCTTCCAGGAACATGGAGCCACTTCTCCCACACACACACCTTGCCTAAGGGCCTGGCAAGTCTTGCTCTCAGAGGCTATGTCTACACTACAAGGTTTTTGCCAAAAAACGTGTGTTTTTGCACAAAAACCAACAGAGAGTCCACACCTCAAGCACATTTTTGCACACAAAAAATACAGTAAATCGACAGGACAGAGGGCTTTTGCTGGTAGAGTTATTCCTCTCCCCATGAGAAATAGCTCCTTTTTTGCACTACAGCTCTTGTGCAAAAAGACAAGTGTGGACACTCTGCAGGGGTTTCTTGCACAAAAAGAGCCTATCAGAAAAAGCACAAGCGCTCTGATGGCCATTCAGTTAATGGTCATCAGAGCTTTCTTGCGCAAGAATATCCATGCAGTGTGGACACTCCCCTATGCAAAAGCACATCACTTTTGCGATGCACTTTTGAAGTGTGGACACGCTTTTGTGCAAGAAGTTTTTGCGGAAGATCCCTTCTGCAAAAAGCTTCTTGCACAAAAATCCTGCAGCCAGAAATATAAACAGCTGGGTGCTACAGCAACAAAAAGCCCATACCCAAATTTCCCCAAGGGTGAAGAATGGAGAAGAAGCTGCATGTGACACATGCTGAATCCCCCAAGCTGCCCCTGTCCACATGGTAAAAGAGATCTTTCCAACCACCTGTGGTATTTTCTACCCTCCCTTTGAAATCAATGTGGCCGAGGCTAGCTCAGCTGCTCCTATGGCAGCTTGGTTTTAACAGATAATGTTAACACATCCATTGCACTGATGTCATATGGCAAGCTATATGGGCATTAAAAGATTCTCTAGCTGTGAAGTTGTTCTGTTAGTTCCCTGTCAGGAAGGAGAGGAAACATTTCCTTTTTTAATGCTGTCAGACTATCTTTAAAGACCATTTCTTGGCTGCAGAAGGGAGCGGGGAAGAGAGAGAAGTCCCTCTTTTATGTGCTATACATTGGGGAGGCCGGCTCTATGCGTAGGATGATCAAAGAAACCCTGTTCTGATGGAATAACCTAGGGGACTTAGGACCCTGAGGACAGAGAGATTGTGGCAGCAAGATTGCCTGCAAGCAATTAGCTTCTGCCAGAGTTGTGGGATTTTCTTCTCCCTTTGAAATCAGTGTGTCTGGGGTTGGCTCCACCGCATTTATAGTAACTAAGTTTAAAAAGAGAATAACAACAACAAGCCTAGTGCATTGACATCATCTGCCAGACTACATATGAAATAAAGCACATTCATTCTCTAGCTGTGAAATTATTTAGGTCCTTCTATACCAGGAAGGAGAAAAAGCATTTTTTTAAATGGTGTCAGAGTACCAGAGTGGCTGGGGGGGGGGGCGGATGATTTTTATCCAGAGCCAGCTCTGAAACAAATTGTTTAAAAGAGAAGTTTATTTAGAACTCAGGAGTACTTGGAGTTCTTTCCCATTTATTCCACACGTAGAGCCCAAGCCTGGAGCTTTTGGAATTCCAGAAGTGTTTCAAAGTGCCTAACCACTGTGTTGAACTATCCCACCCATAGGCCCCACACTTCTGGGGACTCTCTGGTGGCTTCCCCAATTCCCCTATGGATGGGATGGATGGGAGGGGACCTGGAGGATTACAGGAGCCTGACATAGCAGCAGCAGGGGGTCGCCCCAGAGCAAAGTAGGCTGCAGGGCTGCTCCAGCTCCTGCTGCCCACATGGCCATGTTGCTCAGAAGAGGGGGCAATGGGGTAGAGCGGGGGTGAAATAGCAGCTAAAAGGGGCCTGCAGTGGGGAGTGCCCTGGGCTTCACCTGAGGCCCTGGCGGGGGAGGAGGGGTTGCCCCAGTCCCGTGTCCCCCTCAAGACAACCCTGTTGACCACAGACCAGATTATTCAATGAGAGGATATAAGATGCCTACTGCCCAGACTATCCCTCCTTTCCTTTCCACCTGATCCAAACCTAGCACAACTGATACAGAGAAGGAGGGAGGCTTTGTTTAGATCTGCATAGTCAACACCAGAAGAAAACATGCCTCTTTCCTGCATGTATTTGCCTCTGCATATTCCCACTGTATGGAATTACAAAGCAGGAGCAATTCCCCAGGCACAGGATGGAGGAGTACATTTTTTTAACAAAGAGATGGAAGGATTCTCTTCAGTGATCATTGAGAAGTGAGCCCCGAGTCTGTCCCCACTGTTTAGAGACGAGATAAAGATATGAATTGAGCTCCAGGGGGAGGCCGGACAAATCTCAGTTACCATGTAGTCACAGTGTCCAGGAAAGTTATCAAGGCAGCTGCAGTTCAAGGGGAATGAGCTCTAAAATCCTGCCCTAGTGATTCTCTCGACTGCTTATCATAGGCTTAATTTCAGCCAATGGATCTACTACAACTGACACTTGTTGAGGAACTGGCCCTCTGCTGTGTCTTGTTCCTTAGTTATTCTCCTGGGCTGTGTCTACATTGGCACCCTTTTCCGGAAAAGGGATGCGAATGAGACACTTCAGAATTGCAAATGTCCCAGGGATTTCAATTTTCAGCCATGAACATGGCTGCCGCTTTTTTCCGGCTTGGGGCTTTGCCGGAGAAAAGCGCCAGTCTAGACAGTAGGAATAAGGGATCTTCCGGAAAAGGGTTTATTTTCCGCAAGATCCCGTCTAGACTGGATTTAACCCCGATTTAAATCCCCCGCGGATTTGCAATTCCGAAGTGTCTCATTAGCATCCCTTTTCCGGAAAAGGGTGCCAATGTAGACACAGCCCTGGAGTAAGATGCTGGCTTCTAGTCACCTCAGCTCCACATGCTTTCATGAGCTTTTATACTTCCAGGAACATCCTGCTTTGCAGTGGTATATTCTCATGACATCCACTCTGTGGTTTATGTGGCCTCATCTTTGCATGCAGGCCAACATTAATTCTCTTCGGCTAGAAGATGACTTCAAGCCACAGATACAAGTGTAACCTGCGTGGCTCCCTTTTGTTTCACAAATATGATGTGCAAACATCCTTCATGCTGGATATTAGAGTTCCCCTTCTTTGCTGGAAGGCACATGCCATTTTCCACTGGCTTGCTATTGTCCCAATAGAGCAAAGGGTAATAGTAAACAACTTCAACTGCGCATCTCTCAAGCTTATCACATTTTAGTGGTACATGCCCAAATTAAGCTTAATTCTGTAGGTCCTCTATCAAATGCCACCCATTATGTATGTCAGAACCCATACTTTCCATTTGGAAACAAATTACACTACTGCACACCCACTCTTCAAATCGCTACATCCATTGTAGGTAGCCTGGTTTGTTTGCAAAGAAAATACAATGCATCTAGAAAGACTGATAATTGTATAGGTCTTATTATGTCATTAAAAACAATGGGCCAGAACCAGCTCTGTTTGCTGATGACTAACTCACATTGAAATAAAAATCCTTTTGGGGATCTGGGACATACTCTTTAAATAAAAAGCATTAAATCCAAGTTGTCTGTGCCTCAACTAGAACAACATGCATGAGAAATATTGGCTATACTAGATGCATTTAGTGTTTCTTTTTAAACTAAAAGGACCCATTTGAGAGCAGGGACAACGCAAGGAGAATTTGGAAAACTGAATGAAATGGTCAGCAAGTAGGAAGATAGAGTGAATGCTTTGGAGTGCAGGCACATGACATACACCTTTGAAGGAACATCCTCCATCATTCTCGTCCTCAACCACACCTTTTCATTGTGGGCAATAACAAAAGAAAATAACTCAATCTCATCTTATTCCAAATTAAGGCATAAGGGGGGGTTGTTCAGAAATCACATCTAACAGCAAGTGGTGGCTGTGATAAGCCCAATGCTGGGATTCAAATGTATTCTACAGTTTGACATTGGATTTAGAAATGTTATCAACCCCCTCCCTTTGCAATTCTTCCTGGCAACAGTGATGTCCAAAATAAACCAGGCAGGAGATGGCAAAGCTGAATTCCACAGGGTTGTGCAGTGCCCGGTGTGTCCTTGACAACTGCTTTTAAGAAGCATCAGCTTCCTTGCCTGGCTAATGCAGTGCATGATTCTCAGAGGCTCACTGTGGTGGATGAAAATTTGAGGCCTAATTGTCTTGGTACTCACACTGGTGTAAATCAGGAATAAGCCCCAGTGAAGCTATTAGAGTTATACTGGTGTAAGATCAGTATGTGTAAGAGGAGAATCAGGCAAATGGTGACCTCTCCTGTCTACTCCCCAGGTTTCACTGAGAAATGAACCTCTGTTAAAATTCTGCAAATGAACAACCCTTTCATTGCCACCGCCGATGAGGAAAGTTTAGATCCAGATCCAGGACCGCTGATGCAGAGGTAGGGAAGGGGGCAACTGCCCTAGGTCCCAGTGATTGAAAAAGGGTCCAGGGCTCCCAGCCACCAGCCAGAGCCCTAGGTCCTTTCAGTTGCCACTGGAGCACTGCGGGGTGCGTTCCAGGCAGCTCAGAGGGCTGCTGAGGGAACCATGGCACAGTGTGCTCCTTGAGGCACTGAGGGATGGCTGCTCCAGCTCCTCCCTTTCCACCCAAGGTCCCGCCCCTTCCAGGAGTGCAGAGCTGCCCCTCCCCCACCTTGCTCCAGGGCCTGGCAAATCTGTTGCCTCCTCTGTCCAGATCCAAACTTTCGATTTCGGTCCAATCTCTAATTCCCCTCTCAGAACAAAGTCCAAGTTGTGCCTGAGGGCATAATTCTAAGTACGCTGTGTGGACGTTAGTTTTGAAAGTACCCTAAGTAGTCTGCATTTCCCATGGCCATTAGGGTATTCTGGAGAATCCACCCCTTCTCAGAGACCTGGGTATCATAACATAAACCAGGGGTTCCCAACCTTTTCCGGTCCCCGTGCCCCCTTGGCTTTTAATAAACCTTCCCGTACCCCCTATTCAATATGAAAGGAAATAAATTCTAGACTCTAGAATCCACAACTTTTTTCACTAACACTACTACTTTGAGAATATTTCAATTAGGACAATCTAGTTATTTACCAAATATTCTCCATACCCCCTTTACAAGCTTCTCGTACCCCCTGAGGGGTTGTGTACCCCAAGGTGGGACCCCCTGGTCTAAACTTTATTAAAGAAACTACATTTCCAGCAGATGGGGAAGAAAGCTTTTCAAGCGTGAATCAATCCAGACCTATCAGAATACTTGCCTTCATAGCTTGGTTCTGAAACTTAATGATGCCATTGTAAACATCAACATTATTAACTGTATCTATCATGGGCCAATGGAAATATCTTGATAATGTGTCACTCCCACAAACCCAGAGTACTTCTTGCACCTTACCAGCTACCAAAAACCTCAATTAATTCTTAACACGGCTACCAGCTTCTCTCATTGCAGCTTCTCAATGCAGTTATGTGGTTTCAGTACAAAATTCTGCAGTGAATTGAAATGAAAAGTGAAACATTTTGGGGGCATCCTAAAATAACCGTAATTTAAACAAGACAAGAAATACTGTACTGATTACATTCTTTTTCATATTTAATTCAACAAAAACCACCCTAGTTTTAAAGGCTATGAAGTGACTGCACATTCTCCCATCTGCTGCAGAGTATCACCAGAATCCAGGTGCCTTGCCATAGAATGTAGGTCAAGCTCATTATGGTGTATACAGGACCTTGATTATTATTTACTTGTTACAGCAGTCTCATAGGTGTGCCTGGCACATTCTAGGCATAATGAGACAACCTGCCTTCTCTGAAGAGCTAACTTAGACTCAATAGAAAAGAGTAGAGAATGAAGGAAGGTTTCTATAGTAAATAATCGTGTGATTTGTCTTTTGTACAGCCTTGTAGGGGTGTGGAGGTTATGTCTGTGCTTATTTGTTTTAAATCTTATTTGTTTTAATATATTTTTACTGAGACTATTTTGTCTTTCACCAAACTTTATAATTCATCTCAAAACACATAATCAAAGAATCCCTTGAGTAGAGGAAAGGTAGATCTGCATCCGCTCTGCATCCACCAGGCTCTACTCATCATCCAATCTGTAATCCATGATCCGGATTTTACTTGTATCTGCACAGCACACCAGGAGTATGTCTAGACTACATGCTTCTTCCGGCAGAGGCATGTAAATTAGACATACTGACATAGTCAATGAAGCGGGGATTTAAATATCCCCCGCTTCATTCAAATAAAAATGGCCACCGCACTGTGCCGGCTCAACTGATCGTTGGCACACGGCAGTCAAGATGCGAATCAGTCAGCAAGGAAAGCCTTTGCCTCATGAAATGAGGTTTACAGGGTCAGTCGGCAAAGGTATTCCATGCCGACCGATCTGCATCTTGACTGCCGCATTGTGCCAATGATCAGCTGAGCCGGCACAGCTCAGCGGCCATTTTTATTTGAAAGAAGCGGGGGATATTTAAACCCCGCTTCATTGATTATGTCGGTATGTCTAATTTACATGCCTCTGCCGGCAGAGGCATGTAGTCTAGACATACCCCAGGAGAGGGAGGAGGGAGCAGTGTTGTAAAGAGAAGAGGCAGGCAGCATGAAAGCAGAGACTGGGGGTAAGGGAGAGCAGGGACCTGGACCCAGAGCTCTGCAGGTCACTGCTCACTGACTCTCAGCCCTACCTGCAGAAAGAGCTAGGGAGATCTTGCTGCATCCTTTCCCTGCTGGCAGTGCTAGGGCCTGCCCTAGTGCCGCCCCCTCAGTCGGCAGCTAAGCAGGGAGGGGGAATCCCTGCATGGATATCCACTCTACTATTCACTCCACTATCCGTGGCTATAAAGCAGATCTCCGCCAATATGCAGGGCTCTATCCCTACGATATCAGCACCCAGAAAAACAGCCACTGGCTCCGGTTGAACCCTGGCACAACACCTTTAAGTGATGCTTTTGGGAAAGGAAAAGAAGGAGGTGCTCACTTCCTCTGTCAAAGGTATCTGCCCTCCACCTTCTTGTCATCACTTAGGACGATGTCCTGAGATCTTCCTGAATGCATCATCTCTAATCTCCAGGTAGCTGCAGTTTTAAGAAGTGATTCCTTCCATCTCCAGCTTAACAGGAAACTGCACAACTTCCTGTCACATGGGGATATGGTCACAGTGTAACAGGGTTTCATCACCTCCAGCCTGTACCACTGTGACTCATTTCATCTGGAGCTGAAAGTGAAGACAACACAGAAATTCAGCCTGGTGCAGAACACAGCATCTGGAAAAATATGAAGAGCGCATTACATGAGTACTCCATACCCTCCCTTGGCTTCCAGTTCACTTCAGGTGGCAACTCAAAGAGCTGGTCTTCATCTTTAAGGACTTGCTACATCTGAGTTAGCCTCTGAATTCATGACTCATTCAGACACTTCTGTTGGCTGATCCCTCAAAAAGAAGAAATAAAGCATTCCCAATCAAAGTTCCCTGAGGAGAGCAGCAAAATACACACACCCTGGATTTCAGAAAAGCAGACTTTGACTCCCTCAGAGAACTGATGAGGAGGATTCCCTGGGATGCTAACATGAAGGGGAAAGGAGTCCAGGAGAACTGGCAATATTTTAAATAAGCCTTATTGAAGGCAAAGGAACAAACCATCCCCATGCACAGTAAGAAAAGCAAATATGGTAGGCGACCAGATTGGCTTACTGGGGAAATCCTTGGTGAGCTTAAACACAAAAAGGAAGCTTACACAAAGTGGAAACTTGGGCAGATGACTAGGAAGGAGTATAAACATACTGCTTGAGAATGTGGGGGAGTAAGCAGGAAGGCAAAAGCACAATTTGGAATTGCAGCTAGCAAGGTATGTGAAGGGTAACAAGAAAGGTTTCTACAAGCATGTTAGCAATAAGAGGGTGATCAGAGAGGGTGTGGGGCCCTTACTGGATGAGGGAGGTAACCTAGTGACAGATGCGGGAAAAGCTGAAGTACTCAATGCTTTTTTTGCCTCTGTCTTCACAGAGGAGGTCAGCTCCCAGACTACTGCACTAAGCAACACAGTTTGGGAAGGAGGTGGGCAGCCCTCAATGGAGAAAGAACAGGTTAAGAAGTATTTAGAAAAGTTAGACACACAAATCCAGGAGGCCGAATCTAATGCATCCAAGGATACTAAGGGAGTTGGAGAGGGAGTTGTCATTACAAAGCCATTGGCCATTATCTCTGAAAATTCGTGGAGATTGGGAGAGGTCCTGTATGATTAGAAAAAGGCAAATGTAGTGCCCATCTTTAAAAAAGGAAAGAAGGACAATCCAGGGAACTATAGACCAGTCAGCCTCATCTCAGTCCCCAGAAAAATCATGGAGGGGATCCTCAAGGAATCAATTTTGAAGCACTTCAAAGAGGGGAAAGTGATGAGGAAGAGTCAACATGGATTCACTAAGGGCAATCTGATTAACTTCTATGATGAGGTAACTGGCTCTTTGGACATGGGGAAGTCAGTGGGTATGATATACCTTGACTTTAGCAAAGCTTTTGATACAGTCTCCCACAATATTCTTGCCAGCAAGTTAAGGAAGTATGGATTGGATAAATGGACTGTAAGGTGGATAGAAAGCTGGCTAGATTGTCGGGCCCAATGAGTAGTGATCAATGGCTCTATGTCTGGTTGGTGGTTGGTTTCAAGCAGTGCCCCAAGGATCAGTTCTAGAGTTGGTTTTGTTCAACATCTTTATTAATGACCTGGGTGAGGGGATGGATTGCACCCTCAGCAAATTCACAGATGATACTAAGCTAGGGGGAGAGGTAGATACGTTGGAGGGTAGGGATAGGGTCCAGAGTGACCTAGACAAATTGGAGGATTGTGCTAAAAGAAATCTGATGAGGTTCAACAAGGACAAGGGGAGAGTCCTGCACATGAGACAGAAAAATCCCAAGCATTGTTACAGGCTGGGGACTGACTGGCTAAGTAGCAGTTCAGCAGAAAGGGATCTGGGGATTACAGTGGATAAGAAGCTGGATATGAGTCAACAGTGTGCCCTTGTAGCCAAGGCTAATGGCATATTAGGGTGCATTAGGAGGAGCATTTCCAGCAGATCTAAAGAAGTGATTCTTCTCCTTTATTCGGAACTGGTGAGGCCACATCTGGAGTACTGCATCCAGTTCTGCCCCTCCCCCCACTATAGAAAGGATGTGGATGCATTGGAGTGGGTCCAGTGGAGGACAACCAAAATTATTAGGGGGCTGGAGCATATAACCTACAAGGAAAGGCGGTGGGATTTGGGCTTATTTAGTCTGCAGAAGAGACGAGTGAGGGGAGATTTGATAGTAGCCTTCGACTTCCTGAAGAGAAGTTTCAAGGAGGATGGAGAGAGGCTGTTCTTAGTAGTGAGGATGGCCAAACAAGGAGCAACAGTCTCAATTTACAGTGGAAGAGGTCTAGGTTGGATATTAGGAAAAGTTATTTCACTAGGAGAGTGGTGATGCACTGGAATGGGTTACCTAGGGAAGTGGTGGAATCTTGATCCCTAGACGTTTTTAAGTCCCGGCTTCACAAAGCCCTGGCTGGGATGATTTAGTTGGGGTTAGTTCTGCTTTGGGCAGGGGGCTGGACTCGATGACCTCCTGAGGTCTCTTCCAGCTCTAGGATTCTATGATTCTATTGCCTTTAGACCTACCTAAAGGAAGACAAAGGGGTGTGCTTGCAAGCCGGCCCATTTTTAGAACGTGTGCCTCATGACTCACCCTTCTGTAAGGAAGGGAAGTGCCACAGGAAGAATAGCTCAAAAACACAGTAGGCAATGCTGATGAATGTGAGGCAGACAGGCAGCAGTGTCTGTCCACTGTGGAAATCACTTTATAGATGTCACTAATGCTAATGTCAGAGAGGCCAGAGAAATACCTAAGGCAGCGATTTTCAAACTATGGGTCACAACCTAGTACTAGGTCACAGAACGTCAGCCAATGAGCCACCTAGCTATAGGATGACCAACAGGGATAATAAAGCAGGCTTCCTGCCTTTCATGGCACCATGGACTATGCTATGTCCTGGAAGCATCCAGGAGCAGGTCCGGGTCCTAGGCAGGGGAGCCACGGGGCTCTGCATGCTGCCCCCATCCCCAAGCATCAACTCTGCACCCCCATTGGCTGGACACCATACAATGGAAGCTGGGGAGCGGTGGCTGTGATTGAGAGCATTGCACAGAGACACTTGCATACCTCTGCCTAGGAGCCAGAACTGCTGCTGGTTGTCTCCAGGGTGCAGCACAGTCCACGATGCCAGGACAATCAGGAGCCTGCTGTAGCCCCTGCACTGTGGCACTGACCGTGAGCCACTGGAGATAACCCTGCCCCCTAATCTGCTACCCCAGCCCTGAGCCCCCCACACCTAGAGCCCCCTCCTGCAGCTCAAACCCCTCATCCCTGACTCCTCCCTCCCCCCCGAACTTGCATGCTAGTCAAAAGATAGATATTTATGTCAGGTCATGGACATCAACAATTTTCTTCAAGTGGGTCACAAGAAAAAAAGTTTGAAAACCACTGCCCTAAGGCAAACAGGAAGAAACTAGTAGCTCCCAGAGCTTGATGAAAAGCGTGATTTGTAAGGAAGATTTGTAAGGAGATATGAGTGTGATTAGCACACAGGAAGAGGGTGTTAATAAAAGGAGCTCTAAGTAGCATTTATGAAGAATCACATTTTGCCTGTGGCAATGAGTGAAATAGGATCAGGATCTATCTCAAAATACTGAAAACTGGATAATAAATCCAGAAACGTGACATCTGCCTCACACCAATCAACTCCTCATCCATCTACTCCTTGATCCTGTCGCTGATGAGACCAGAGTGTGACACTTAATAGAATCAAAACAACTGTTTTGACAAAATCTGGCTTTTGCTTATGTTTACATTGGAATTTTGTCAAAAATAATTTTCTCAAAAGTTTCCATTTTTACGACCCAGTTTCCATCTTGTATTATTGCTTTTTTCTTGCATTTATCATTTATTGCTTTTGTTTTGGGATGGCAGAGATCTGTCGCCAGTTTTGATTAGTTGATGTAGTCCTAACATGGTAGGACTGCACGCGGTGTACCAGCTTTGAAATGTACAAGAGTGCCCCCCGCTGACCTCCGGATCCATGTGGCGCTGCTGCTTTGAAATGCTGTGCAGACCCGGGATCAGCTCAGGACTCCCCAGCTGATCTCAAGCTCCGCGCAGCATTTCCACGGAACCTGGGATCAGCTGGGGAGTCCCCAGCTGACTCCGGGTTCCGCAAAAATACCTCATGGATCCCGGGGTCAGCTAGGGCGGCCCCAGCTGACCCCGGGCTCCATGTGGCACTGCTGCTTTGAAACACTGCCGCGGCGTTTCAAAGGAACAGTGCCGCACAGAGCCTGGGATCAGTTGTTCGGCACTGCCCCTTTGAAATCCTGTTCCCTCCATCGATAGAGGTAGCAAAGTGCGGGGGAAGCAACTAGTCATCTCAACTATCCGATAAGCATTTGCTTATTGGATAGTCGACTAGTCAAAAAGTCCTTAACATCTTTACATTGTACCTGACCCCTGCAGAGAGGTTAGCACTGCGTATGTAATACTGGCAGGCAGAACCAAAACCTGGGGACATCTGGAGCTTAGTGTAGGAGCATCTACAGCAGTGGTTCCCAAACTTTTCGGCATCACGCCCCCTTTTTTATTTTTGAGAAGCCCTCACGCCCCCCTCCCCCATATCAGCAAAACTTGTTGAGCAAAAAAAAAAGGAACTGACCAGGGCCAAAAAAAAAAATAGCAGCAAAACTTGCGAGGGGGTATTGACTTTGGGGTGGGGCGGGGTCGCCTTGCGCCCCCCCCTGGAATTTCTTCATGCCACGCCCCCAGTTTGGGAACCCATGTTCTTCAGCTTGAGCTAAAAGGCAGCTGATTCTCAGCTAAGGCTGTACAGCAGACACATTCTTTCTCTTTGTCAGTGGTCTAAGAGCCACTGCATGGGACAGTGGACCACACCCAGTAGGTTTTTGGGTTACATGTGCACACTCCAGCAAGCTGCAGAAAGCTTTCTGGATCATAGACAGTCAAACTATAGGCTAATCACTTCACCTTTCTGTGTCCCCATTTCCCATTGTGCAATAGGGATCAGTGAAATCACTTAGCACTCTGGAATGCTGCAGCTTTAATTCAGTAATATTTGTGAACTGCTCAGGTATCATCTCCTGAATGGTGCTCTAGAAATTCCTAGGAATATTATATATCACTTTTAGCTGCTCTCCTACTCTGAAACTTTCCCTGCAGAATTCACTGATTCAACCATTTCAAATACTAAATTATCTTGACTTGGCGAATTGGAATCAGCTTTTCACAATGTTCTGAGAAGCAAAACTGTGCTCTGTGTCAGTACAAGGAAATACAGAGCAGCATTACTGACTCAATCTGTATGCTGAATGAGTCAGCCACAGTTTATGCACCTGCTGTGACTTACAAATCTGAATGCACTTGGAGATGGTGGTTTTGCAAACAGATGGATTTTGTAAACCCTGTTAACATTTCTATGTGTAAGAGCTTCACAAGAGAAAACGATCATGTCCATGTAAGTATCGGATCCACTTACCCTTACAAATTTTTAAATTGTGCTTCATTTTACTCAGGCTGAAGATATAAATAGCATCATCTTAGACTAGGAACCTTGGTTGCATTTATGAGAATGGTGACGCTCAAGAAATTTAAACTGAAATGAGTTGATTTCTGCATCTAGCTATAAGATGTTAGGATGAGTGGTGTGTGCTTCTAATGATTCCTCATTTCTAAAGGATTCTGTTTGATCATAATCTAACAAAATAACCAGCTCTGAGAAACCACAGAGTCTGTATGTGTAAACTGCTTGCTGTGCATTCTCTCAAGCACAGGGCTTTTGTTTTCAAAAAGTTACTGGAATGTGTTGTTTCCACAATGTTTAAACAGCTTAAGGAGAGAAAAAAATTGCATAATGTGTATTCTACATGAGCTTCTCTTGGGCATGCATAGAACTCCTTTTGATTTGTGTGTACAAAGAGTCTCCTACTGGTGCACAGGACAGGGGCATGGAAATAAACAAGGAAGCAGAACTTGATTTGTTTAAAGGAGGCAGCGGGGAAGGGCAAGCAGCTACTATTGGGGGAAAACAAAACCTGAATAGATACATGAAAAAATTCAGAGGTGGCAGAAGTAACGTGTGTGTCAGCAATTTACATATTGCTGCAATACTTCTATTTATCATCACCGGCAGAGTTATCAACACAGGGATAATAGCAGAGTACCGATGCAACAAAACACACGTACCTCTGGTACTCAATATCCACATGGGATGCGCTCATGATCTTAAAGCAACACAGGGTTACACTTCAAGGAAAGAAGAGTATTCTGGTGATCTGTGTACAGGACTTGCAGCATGGAACCCTTGCCCTCTAATTCTAGCTCTGCAGATGACTGCTTCTGTGGCATCAGGCAAGATGCTTAAACTGTTTGAGCTAGATTATGTCTGGCTGCGGCTTGGAAGAGTAGGGTTGGGAGTTTGTAAGGAAACTTACCATCTTGTACCCCCATAAAGGGATTAGCCACAACTGCAGTCCTTCCTCCCATATTCAGATCAGGCTAATGATGGGTGGTACTAATTATCCCAAAATGAAAGAGATTGTGGCCTGGCAGCACAGATCTGATTGGCTGCAGAGGAGATTAGCAGAGGATGCACTCCCCCCGGCATTCTATGGAGCTGCGGGAAACACCATCCCTACTGGGAAGTAGAAGGGTGAATGGCAGAAACGAGTCCTTACGTCCCTTCCTGTAAGATGGGAGTGAGACTTACATACTTCCCACCATGGGAGAATTAGATATTTAATGTTTGAAAAATACATATTGAACAGCCTAGCTATTATTATTAAAAGTGCATTATGTGAGCTGTTAAAATAGTATTACTACTAATGGGATTTACCTGGTAGATCCCCCTTGTGTTCTCTTTGAAAAAGAAATGATCAACTTTTTGGCTTAAGGTCCCAAAGATAAATGTGTTCACTCTTGTATTACTAATTTCACAGTTTGTAACTGTATAGTACTAGTAAAGCAAGTTGAACAAAAGTCTAGCAGTAGCAAACACAATTTTAACTTGAGTAATTGTTTTTATGACCCGCCGCCCCACAACTAGTAAGACAAGTGTTTTGTTGCCAGACCAGTCCTCTAAAGGGTATTAATTTTTCAATCAGTATTAAATAGCTGGAGTTCATTTCTTCTTCCTCCCAATTATTAAAAGCATGTTATTCTGCTAAGATTGTATTGATAATTTCTGAATATATATGCAAGTGAGATTGGAAAAAGAGCATCCCCTATTCAGGCATTCATTTATACCCCACCCCTCAGGCAAAATGGACCTGTCAAAAACCTGTCACACAGAAACTTTCCTACTGAAGGGGTGCATAGAATGGGGGACCCCAGTAACAAAAGAAAGGGGCAGGTCCAGAACTGGTGTTGATTTTCCTAGGAGATACAGGGATATGAGACCAGAAACATCTCACAGGTAAGCTGGGGCTTGAGCCCTGCAGCTCAGACTCTGGGAAAGCAGCGTATGGCACCATGTGTAATTGCTAAATACACAAGGCAAACTGCTTACTGGGTCCTACACTAAACTTCCACTCTCATAGCCCAAGGTTCTTCTCATGGATATAGCCTAAGTAGATGGGTTTTCAGCATGGGACCTCTGCAGGTGTTGGGATGAAAGAAATTCTCCCTCCCACCACCCCAGCCCAGGTGTGGAAGGCATGGAACACTACACGATGTGGCCACTAAAGATGTGCTTTGGCCAGTAGATGCATGGAGTTGAGGATCCACTCTCCCCTCCTCTCCATGGTTCAGCAAAGCCCCCTGTTCTCTTTCCACGGTATCTCACAGAGTGCTACTGCAGAACAATGCTTCATGGTGTACAGAGGGGTCCAAGCCCTTCTGCATAGTTTCACTGCAGAACCAAATCTGTTTCGAAGCCTCGGCATCATTTCCCAGGCATGGAAACTTTGTCCCTTCACCGCCATTCATTGTAAGGTTCTGGTGCTGCAGATGTAACCCACACGCCTACTAGGTTTGATTCTCTGCTCCATGTAGTAGCACTTACAGAGAAAAAGAATGAGTGGGCTCTACAGCCTTAGCTGAGAGGCAGCTGGCTTTTAGCTCAAGCTATAGAGGCTCATGCACTAAGCTCTGCAAGTCTCAGGTTCGGTTCCTATGGGTATGTCTAAACTACATGCTTCTGCCCACAGAGGCATGCAAATTAGACTTCACGACATAGTCAATGAAGCGGGGATGTAAATATCCCCCGCTTCATTAAAATAAAAATGGCTGCCGCGCTGTGCCGGCTCAGCTGATCGTTGGCACAGCGCGGCAGTCAAGATGTGGATCGGTCGACAGGGAACGCCTTTGTCGACCGCTCCTGTAAACCTCGTTTGACGAGGCATAAGAGAGCGGTCGACAAAGGCGTTCCCTGTCGACCGATCTGCGTCTTGACCACCGCACTGTGCCGACGATCAGCTGAGCCGGCACAGCATGGTGGCCATTTTTATTTTAATGAAGTGGGGGATATTTAAATCCCCGCTTCATTGACTATGTTGGGTAGTCTAATTTACATGCCTCTGTGGGGCAGAAGCATGTAGTCTAGCCATACCCTACAAGTGGAGATTTTGAAATGTGCCTAAGGGCATTAAATGTCTGGCTCTCATGGAATTTCAGATTTGGCACCTAACTCCTTTAATCAACTTTGTAGTTCTCAGGCTGTAATCATATTGGCTTCTCTCATAGCACATGTATCACCCACAATGCTGAGATTCCAATGCATGGTATGAATTAACCTGTACACGCTAACATACTTCACCATTAGCCCATAGCAACAGATGTGTCCCAATGCACTAGACAGGCAGGCTTTGTGGCAGGACCGTTACAGAGGGTGTCCTCTTTCTTTATGATTCTTGTTCTATGGATAAAAAAAATTACAAATGTGCACAGTTATTCACCTGGCACTCTACAGGATCAAATGACTTGCGATACATCGACAGTCAGCCTCCATCTGTTACTAATTATCTCAATTACTGTTACTGTAAACAGAACCCAATCAATTAATACGCTGTCACTCTTTTCTTTTTTCTTGTATACCACCCCTATTGCGCTACGTTTAATATGTCTACCATGAAAGCAGTGCTGAGCTGACCCTGTGGTTTTAGGCACATGATCGCACTTGGGATGCCAGTAGTCTAAGAACCAGGAGTGGACCTGGCACTTTGGTTTTGTAAACCATGGGGCTACATCTACACTGCAGGCTTCTTGTACAAGAAGCTTTTTGCGGAAAAGATCTTACACAAAAACGTCTTGTGCAAGAGTGGGTCCAGATTGCACGGATGCTCTCTCAAAAGAAAGCTCTGATGGCCATTCTGTGAATAGCAACCAGAGTACCTGTGCTTTTTTTTCAATTGGCTCTTTTTGCGCAAAAATGCTACTTATGGCTTGTCGCCCTGGGTACGTCTACACTACAGCGCTAGTTCGAACTAACTTAGTTCGAATTAGTTAATTCGAACTAAGCTAGTTCGAACTAGCGCATCTAGAACTAAAAACTAGTTCGAACTAGCGTTTTGCTAGTTCGAACTAGCGCGTCCACACTGATTGGACGCAGGGGGGCATTTAAGGGCAGCTGAAACCGGTTCTGGCAGGGCATCAGGTCAGCAGTTGCTTTGTGTGGCTGCTGTCTGAGGCTATCTGAGGCTCGTGCTTAAAGGGACCCCCCCTGGACAGCCGGTTCTCAGCTTTTCCTGCTTGCTTGCCAAC